CAAGCCTTCTAATGTAAATTATTTGGTTGTGCGCAAACGTGTTGCACTTGTGAAGTGTAGACAATAGAAGATACAATTGAAAACGTGCTGAAAAATTCAACTCCAAAAGGTTTCAAATTTGAAGTAATGTAATTACAAATTACTTAGATAAAAGAGATTGCTGTTGAGGTTACAATAATAAAAATAATATAAATTCAATTTTTATATTATCTTTGAAAAAATATATTAATTTTTGAAATAAATGAAGCTAAAACACCAAAACCATACATACAGTACAAAATTTAGTTACTAATTACTATAAAATTATAATTATCATCAAACTAAACTATATTTTGACTAATATTTTTAATCAAATTTAGCTTATCATAACTCTCTCTCTCTCTCTTCTTCCACTCTTTGTACAGATGCGGTGTGCCTGTATATATTGGGTAGATAAAATGTTAAATAAATCCTTCTATCATTTGGGCGTTTTAATTGCGAAACATCCTGGCTATTTCATTATAATACCAGTGCTGTTGACAATGCTCTGCATGACTGGGTAAGTTGAAATAGATCATAGAATGACCTCATATAAATTGCTATAATCAATCTAAATCTCACTCTCTCCTTCCAGCTACCAACAGTTAAAATATCAAATCGATCCCGAATATTTATTTTCCCCTGTAAATGGAGAGGGTAAGGCTGAACGCGCTGTCGTCGAAAACTATTTCAAAGTCAATTACACGCATAGATTCAATGTCGGACGCATAACTAGACCGGGTGAGTGATTTAATGACAATATTGCTTATAAAAAATTTTTTTAGAAGTAATTTGCAAGTACAATATAAGCAAAAAAATTATTTATTAATAAAGGCGACAATTTTGTGTTAAAAAAGAATTCTTTTAACGTTTTCCAAATTTATTTACACCCACCTTCCAGTTAAAAATGCTTCATAGGTTTATTTTAGTACTTACTAATAGCGGTACTTGTATAAAATCCCCGAACAATACACGACAATTACGTGCTTATTGTCGCGAACAATAATCATGATAGGCGTCAATGCAGTTATCATAATTAAAATTGACAATATGTGGTTAATACTAGCATTTATAAATATATTCATGTGTATGTTTGTAATAAAGTTTTAAAATAAAATATAATTAATTTAATTAATCCATGACGTATAATAAAAAATTTATATAATTTAAAATACCATATGTTACAATAATATAAAACATAAAATTAAAAAAAATTATACTAAATTAAAATTACTAAAAAATAGTTAAATTAAAGCTAAAATATATTTTTTAATTAAAAACAATTAAATAATTTATAATTCATTATATCAATTTATATATTAATTAAAATTAATCAAATATTTTAAAATAAATAATATAAATTAAATATATTAATATAAAAATTTAAATAAATTGTATTATAAAAACCAAAAAAAAACAAAAAATTAAAAAAATACTTCAATAAAAACTAAAATATATTTTATTAATTAAAAAAACAATAAATATATTATAATTCATTAGAAAAAGTAATATATTTTAATTAAAATTAATCAAATATTTTCATATACTTAATATCAATTAAATATATTAATATAAAAAATTTAATTAAAGCAAATTGAAATTAATTATATCATTAAAAAAAAAAATTATATTAAAATAAAGTTACCAAAAAAAATAGTTAAAGTAGAGTTACCGTATATCGTACTAATTAAAAATAATTAAACATTTTTAAATTCATTAAATAAAAATAATAATATTATATATTTTAATTAAAATAATTCAAATATTTTAAAACAATTTATATAAATTAAATATATTATTATAAAAAATGTAATTAAATAAAATTGAAATAAATTATATTGAAACAATTTTTTTTATTAATTTCAAATTGCTTAAAAAAATAGTTCTTTTAAAATTAAAATATATTTTATTAATTAAAAAATATTAAATAATATATAATTTATTAAAAAAATATATATATATTTAATTAAAATTAATCAAAAATTTTAAAATAATTAATATAAATTAAATATATTAATATACAGAATAAAATAAAACCACATTAACTTAATACTAAAAAATATTAATTATATTATATAAAATAATATAAAAAATAAATTAAAACATTATATTAACTTAAAAATAATAATAAAAGCCCGCAAGTATAAGTAAAATAAAAGCAATTGGAAAATAAATGTTTAAAATTAAAAATAATGTATATACGAAACTAAGCAAATGCAATTAAAATTTTTCCATTTTTTTTCACATTTAATAGGAATAAATGGCGAACAAATAAAAAATTACAAAAAAAACCACACTTCTATTGCCATAAATCAACCCTATAAACTGCGAAAAAACAATTAAACAAAATAATAATTACATTTTTTTTATAAAATAAAACACAATAAGAAGAATATATGAAGCTTGCCTTTAAAAAAAGTTGAGAAAAAAACTTCCCATACCGGGAATCGAACCCGGGCCTTCTGGGTGAAAGCCAGATATCCTAGCCACTAGACCATATGGGAGAGATATCAGTTTTCTGCTGAAATACAGTTTTTTACTTACACGTACTCTATTCTGGAATGTTGTAAATTTATAATATAAATTAGGACATAATATGCTTCATTTTTGGCAGCTAAATATAAATGACAAATAAAATCCAAAACTAGCAGACAAAATAACATAATTAATTCTATAGTTTCTTTTTTTTTTGAAATACCTGAAGCTAATCTTGTGTATCGCAATAATATTATATTTTAGAATTATTTGATGTCTCACTTCATATGTCGACAAATGCAAATTATGAGCATAACAGCTTCGTGATCAGTTGACCGATCATTTTACATGATTTCTACATATTTGATATCGCTTTCATTCACTATCACTATCATGATATCTTTCAGTATAAGTTAAGTACTTGATTTCCTGTAGCACAGGGTATATAAAGTTTACCACGATGTTTGTAACACCCGAAAGGAAACATCGGGGACTCTACAAAGTATATAGTATATATATAATATTTGATCAGCGGGACGAGCTGAGTCGATTTAGCCATGTCCGTCTGTAGTGCTGATTAAAACTCAAGTGGCAAGTCGAAGACAGCTAATAAGTGAAGTAAATAAAATTATATGGTAATATCCATTTCTCTTATTATTTTAAATAGAGGAACTTAAAGTTGACAAAGATTGACTGCTGCAGCGGTACTCGGATGTCCATTAGAATAAATTAGACGAGGGATTCACAAACAATTCCTAGATTTAGCAAAAGTTATACAGGTAGATTCTCAGGCATCGGCAAAGAAACTTTCTTTTTAATATAACTTAACAGTAAATACTTAAAAGTTCAAGTCAGATGTTTTTGAACTAACAGCATGCTGTCGCAGCTGCTTGTAAGATGGTAGCGAAATCAGTCTGTTATATATTGAATTTTGCTAAAATGCCTTAAACAGTTTAATTTCGTGTCTTATTCGAATGCTTGAATTTTTTCTCAATTTTTTGTATCGCCACTGATCTCACTTGTGCCACAGTAATGCTACCTTTTTGATTTACCCTTGTATAACGGCTTAACGACTCATCATATTCTGTATGTATTAGTTTTGGTGGCGAAAAATCTATTCGAATCATAGCCTCACCATGGTATATTCTACCAAAACATATTCGAATTAATAAAATATTAATGTTTTTTTTTCTAAAATTTCATAAACTGACAAGTTTAAAACGATCAAACTGATTAAAGCCACGCTCACTTTTCATATAAATATTTGTTCATGCCACATATCTAAATATTAAGCGATTAAGTTGACAAGTCGCACTCG